CACTGCTGTGAGCGATTCTTTAACCAATAATGCTACACACACACTGTTTTTTTGCCCCCCTTCTCTATCCTGCCTGAGAAAGCTTTATTGAGAGACATTGCTGCCAGAAACTCTGCCAGTTTTGTGTGCATGTTTTAAACTTTGCTTCCTCGGTCTTTCACAGTCACTTGTTAAGTTTCCTCTTCCCGTTCCCTGCTCTGAATTTTCCCTCAGGTCCCCATTCCCCACCCATATGCCAATCTAATCTAAACCCTCCCCAGTAGCCCTAAGGAGTCTTCCTGCATGGATATTTCTCCCATTTCCGGCTTAGGTGTAAATTGTCTGGCTTGTACAAATCTTACCTACCCAGAGGCAGTCTCAATGCTCCAGAAACTTAATGCCCATCCTCCTAAACCAGCTTCCCCAGAAGTTGCTCAATAACTTAATTCTTCTGTTATATGCTCATTAGCCTGGGGCTGAGAGTAATCCTGAGGTTACTGCTTTTAAGGTCCTACTTTTCAATCTCCTTCCTCCCTCACTGAAATCTGCTTTCAGGACCTCACTCCCATTCCTACCTGAGTCACTGGTACCAAAGTGGACCATGAGTTTTGACTGATCATGCTCTTCCAGAATCTGGAGCCACTCTGAGAAATTCTGTATCCTGGCACCAGGGAGACAACATACAGTCCTGGAGTCAGATGGGCTGTTACAGAAATGTCTGCCTGATCCCCTGACTGTGGAATCCCCCCTATTAACACTGCTCTTCCACTCTTTTTTGTCCCACCCTAGTAGCACAGACTTGGCTCTGGCTTCCTTCTCCTGAGGAACCATTACCCATACCTGTACCCAGAATGGAGTACCAATTAGCAAGGATGATAAACTCAAAGGACTCCTTCACTGCTGGTTGGGTAGTGACCCATCCCGTCACTGCCTGAATGCTTCTAACCTACTACCTTTTTAAACATGTAGTTTTCTGTCTCACAGATGCACAACAGTGACTCAAGCTGCCACTCCACTTTCAAATCCCATGCAGCCTGTGATATTTGTTGCAAACGTGTTTATCTTAGCACATGGTATTTCCAGACTGCACATATGCTGCATGATGTATACACCACTTGGCCAAGCTGACCTGCCATCCTGGAATTTTAAAAACTATGTACTGTATTACAAATAGAATTGCAGGAAAAAAATTACCATTACTCACCTTCTTCTGCTGTACTGAAGTAAGAGCTAACTACAAGAGGCAGTTCCCAGTGCAGTCTCCCTTCTTGTGCTGATCTCAAGCTCTTGCACAGCTCCCCTTTCCATGTGATGCTGACTGCTTCCTTCACAATCCTCATCTATTCAAGTTGTGCCCCTAGTTCTAGGTTCCTCCATGAGGGAAAACACCCTTTCAGCATCCACTGTGTTAAGGGGAGGTGATAGCCTAGTGGTATTATCACTGGACTATTAATCCAGAGACCCAGATAGTGTTCTGGGGACCCGGGTTCAAATCCAGCCATGGCAAATGGTGGAATTTGAATTCAATAAAAAATATCTGGAATTAAGAATTTAATGATGACTGTGAATCCATTGTCGATTGTCAGGAGGGAAAAAACCCCATCTGGTTCCCCAATGTCCTTTAGGGAAGGAAACTGCCTTCCTTACCTGGTCTGGCCTACATGTGACTCCAGATCCACAGCAATGTGGTTGGCTCTTAACTGCCCTCTGGGCAGTTAGGGATGGGCAATAAATGCTGCTTGGCCAGCGATGCCCACATCCCGTGATGAATAAAGAAAAGTCCCCTAGAGTCATACAGCATGGAAACTCATTCAACTCGTCTGCACCAAGCAGATATCCTAAACTGACCTCATCCCATTTGCGTATGTTTGGCCCATATTCCTCCAAACATATCCTATTCATGTACCCATCCAGCAGCCTTTTAAACATTGTAATTGTACCCATCTCTACCACTTCCTCTGGCAGCTCATTCCATACACACACCACCCTCTGTTGGAAAACATAGCTGCTCAGGTCCCTTTTAAATCTTTCCACTCTCACCTTAAACCTGTGCCCTCTAGTTTAAGATTCCCCTGCCAGGGAAAAAGACCTTAGCCACTCACTCTTATCAATGCCCCTCATGCATTTGAGAATCCTCAGTAGGGTTACCCCTCAACCTCCTGTGCTCCAGTGAAAAAGTCCTAGCCTATTCAGCCTCTCCCTCTCGCTCAAAACCTCCAGTCCCAGCAGCATCCTTGTGAATATTTCTGCACCCTCTCAAGTTTAACAATGTCCTTCCTATGGCAGGGCAACCAGAATTGAACACAGTATTCTAAAAGTGGTCTCAGCAAAGTCCTGTACAGCCTCAATATGACGTCCCAACTCCTGCACTCATTGCACCGACCAATAAAGGCAAACGTACTAAACACTTTCTTCACCACCCTGTCTAGCTGCGGCTCCACTTTCAAGGAATTTGATCAACCTTTCTGAATAAAACAGGAATTAGCCTCGCGAACCTTTTCTGAATTGTTTGGAATACAGGTATATCTTTCCTTAAGGAAACCCTTCCCAGTTTATACTCTATCCCTTTCTGATAATCACATATATTCCATTTGTCTTCCTCATTACTTTTTATACTGCATGCAGACTTTTCATAATTCGCATACAGGGAAACCCAGATTCCTCTGTGCAGTCATTCAACAGTCTCCCTCCATTTAAATAACATTTTGCTTTCTGTTCTTCCTGCCAAAATGGAAAGCCTTAAATTATCATTCATTATACTCTATTTACCAATTTTTGCCACTCAATTACTCCATCAGATTTTTGGCCAACTGTTTAATTGCAGTAAGGTCATAAGTGGCTTCAGTGGAACATTAAAAGCAGCATATTCTGATTGGATCAAACTGTCTATTTCTGTGCCGGATGGCTAATGCAACTCGATGTAAAGTTACTTTTGTAAGTTCAGTGTCAATTTTGCATTAACTTACATTCCTGTCATATGCCTGGTGGCATATTTGCACATTAAATGTCACCATATCAGAAACAAGTTATTGCTGTATTAATCACACAAGCCCTTCCCATTGCCTTATTGTCTTCAGTCAGAGATGAGTGTGAAACTGTGGAACTCATTGCTGCAAAGGGATGTGGAGGCCAGGCCAGTTAGTGTATTTAAGACAGAAATAGTTAGGTTCTTGATTGGTAGGGAAATCAAGGGTTACAGGGGACAAGGTGGGAGAATGGGATTGAGAAGCATATCAGCCATGATCGAATGGCTGAGACGACTCAATGAGCTGGATGGTCTAATTCTGCTCCTATATGTTATGGTCTAACGAGTTCTCCCCATTCAATTGCACCGATACATTTCAAAATACATAAAGGCTGACTGATCGATCAGATATGCTGCTATGGTAAGACAAAAATGGGGTGTGAAATTGTTCATGTGGAGCAGAAACAATGGCCCAACTGGCTGTATGACCTGCTCCAATGCTGTAGGGTGATATAACCTGATATTAACCTGCATTTGAGAATTGTAGTTTTGTAGAAGGTAATGGTTCTGAAAGTGTTAATGTTGGAGAATGTATTGGCTCCAACCAATCTGATGATGTCACAGAGTTTTGCCGAGAGCACCAGGCCTTCGAGCATCGGGTCCCAATGGAGACAGGTGTGGCCTTTCTAACTCCTCATAATCTTTGTAATTGTGCCCAATTAGTTAATGCAACTTGTCCCTATCTTGTTGTGTGAGACAAGTGCCACTTCTCATTTAGATGCAACACTGGTTTATCCTCTACTCCTGCTAATTAGATACGTGTCAGTCTCAGCATGGAAAGGACATAAGAACATAAGAACTAGGAGCAGGAGTAGGCCATCTGGCCCTTCGAGTCTGCTCCGCCATTCAATAAGATCATGGCTGATCTTTTCGTGGACTCAGATCCACTTACCCACATTCTCACCGTATCCCTTAATTCCTTTATTGTTCAAAAAAAACTACCTTTTTTTTAGAAACGTTTACTGAAGTAGCGTCAACTACTTCACTGGGCAAGGAATTCCATAGATTAACAACTCTCTGGGTGAAGAAATTCCTTCTCAATTCAGTCCTAAATCTGCTCCCTCTAATCTTGAGGCTATGCCCTCTTGTCCTAGCTTCACCTGCCAGTGGAAACATCCTCTCTACTTCTATCTTATCTATTCCCTTCATAATTTTATATGTTTCTATAAGATCCCCCCTCAATCTTCTGAATTCCAATGAATATAATCCCAATCTACTCAGTCTCTCCTCATAAGCCAACCCCCTCAACTCTGGAATCAACCTAGTGAACCTCCTTTGCACCCCCTCCAGTGCCAATACATCCTTCCTCTGTGATTGGTGGGCAGCATGGCAGCTGTGCCATCTGTGCCATCATTTCTGCCCATTTTAGGTTAAATTTCTGTCTTTTCTTTGCAATTGTGGCTTTTGTTATACTACCCTACAAATTTTTGAATTTTCAAATTTTTGTTTGATTGTTTTCTAAATGGACTACCTGTATCACAATACTAAGCTGCCCAGTAGTTGGTACTGAAGCATATGACACTCTGATAACTCAGGTTCCAAGGGCGCATTGCATCAAGACCAGGTATATAAGGCCAGGCACTGTGAGGGAAATTTATTGCAGAGAAATACAGGAGGGAGTTTCAGTCAGGGAGCTTGTAAGTCTGAGTACTAGCTACATCAGACCAGCCGCCCACTGGCGTTTGAAAAGAAATTTCGAAGAATTACGAATTTGTAAAAGTAGAATAAGAGACTATTACAGCTGCCAAGCCGTCCTGCAGATGTAGAATATTGTGTGTGTTTGTGTCTGTGTGTGTATGCATGTAGGGTATTCAGTTTAATGGGGAACATTTTATTTTTTTCTGGTGCAACTGTCCTTTAAAGACGCTGTGTGCCTGATTTTATTGAACTGGTCCCTTGGGTTTTCCTCTTTTAGATATTATAAACAGAAAAAAATATGATCAAGCAACATTTAAATAATGGTAACGTATTGATAATTTGATATGATTTATTACTGTCACGTGTATCGAGGTACAGTGAAAAGTGTTGTTTTACACAGTATACAGGCAGACCGCACTGTACAAGTGCATCAGGGTAACAGGACAGAGTGCAGGATACAGTATAAAAACCAAACGAACTGTAGATGCTGTAAATCAGGAACAAAAACAAAGTTGTTGGAAAAGCTCAGTAGGTCTGGCAGCATCTGTGAAGGAGAAAACAGAGTTAACGTTTGAGTCCGGTGAGCCTTCCTCAGAACAGGATACAGTGTTACAGCTGCAGAGAAAATTTAAATTTAAACTGTTACAACTGATCTTTTTCTTATTTATCATGTTGTTGATTAAGCTGTGTGCAATGACAGAAAACGACTGCGTCAGTGAAGCGAGAGTTAAAATTTCTTTTCTTGCTTGCAGTTTAGTTCTGTTCCAATCTGCACAGAGCAGTGTCTGCTGTGAGCGGAAACCAGAATGCGTGCGATAGCTGCTTCACTGTGTGGACTTGTGAACATGCAGTTGTGTCATTTTTGAGAGGGCGTGTAGCTGGAGAGCCAATAAAAATACCTCTCCACTAGTCCGACCCACAGAGATGATTCCTGGGGCTGGAGCTGTACAGGTTTTCATTTCCTTTGTGGTGAAATGTTCTCAAAGCTGAACATTTTCACTTGTGAGTAGCTACAGTCAAAGAGGCCCAGTTAACTTCACTCAACTTTATTGTTTGTTTTCTCTTTTTAAACTCCTTGACAGGTCTCACTTGCGAACCCAAGTGATTATAATGTTTACTGCAAGTGAACTGTGAATAATTCAGAGAGGATACCACAGCATCCCATTCATGACCTTACAGGGGCACCCCACCTCCCCGTCCCACCCACCCCCAGCTCCTCTGAGTCACATGGTTCCACACCCACACCAGAGACTGGAGTCCCAGCAAACATCCCAGCTGTTCCTCCCAGTGCTGCACTGAGAAGCAGCAACACCATCAGAGGCACCTCCTTTCGTGATGAGACCCTTTCTGCTCTCTCATCCGAAAATAAAACATCAAATATGACCATTATTTTGAAGAAGAGCGGGGAGCTTTCCCGGCCAATGTTAAACTTGCAACCAAAATCGGAGTAATCGATAGTGTATCTGAAAATACAGTGCTGTTCGTGGGGTCTTGCTGTGCACACATTGCTCGCTTGCGAATCAGCTGAAGATGTCATAGTCAGAGAGTTGTACAGCTCAGAAACAGACCCTTCAGTCCAACTCGTCCAAGCCGACTAGATATCCTAAATTAATCCAGTCCCCATTTGCCAGTATTTGCCCCCTCTAAATCCTTCCTATTCAAGGCCCTATGTAGGTGTAGGCCCTTTGTTGAATGAAGACTAGGAGTAGGCCATTCAGCCCCTCAAGTCTACTCCACCATTCAATATGATTGCTCATCTATGGCCAAAACCCATATGCAGGCTTTGGGCCCTTGGTTAATATCAATTTGTCTCTCTCAGATTTAACTTTAACAATTGAATTGGCACTGACTGTCTTATGAGGAAGACAGTTTGAAACCTCCACTACTCTTTGTGTGTAGAAGTGGTTTCTAATATCTCTCCTGAATGACCTGGCCCTAATTGTTAGACTATGTCCCCTGGCTCTAGAATCTTCAACCAGTGGAAATCATTTATTTTTATCTACCCTGTCTTTCCCTGCTAATGTCCTGAAGTCCTCAATTAGATCAACCCTTAGTCCTCTAAATTCTAGAGAATAAAGGCCTAATTTGTCTAATCTCTCCTCATAACTAACCCTTCACAAGACATTTTTAACAAAATAGTTTTGTATTTTTAATTGTAGAGTTAAATAGGAAAGACAATGCTTTATAAACCAAAACTATTGAAGGATTGCTGCACTTTTTAAAATCAAATAACCTGCCACTCACTGTAAGCAATGTCTACACAGCTACTTGCTCAAGCAGTAATGGAAACTTAGTTTGCAGATGAGCTGTACCCAAGAGGTGTGTAGGAATGGAGCTTTGGCTAGCAACATGTAGCTGGTTGGTCTGTGACCTAATGACCAGTTACTGATGGCAAAGGCTTTCTTCCTGCCAGCAACTATGTCATTTGCTCCCAGGTAGTGGAACAGCTTGGGGTCTGAGCGTATGGTACAAGAAATCAGATCTCCACAAAGGCTGTTTCTTTTCTCTACAATAGGAAGCATCTCATACCTGAAGATATCCAATGTATTTCCCCTCATCCATTGCTGTAAACTGTGACCTTTAAGCAATAAGACAAAGACCTTTTATAAGTGCAAACAGGTCACCATGAATCTCCTGAAAACAGGCGAACGTATCTGGAAAAGGAAAATCAAGAATCAAAACGAACATCTCAGCAAACCCTGTGAACAGGGACCACTGAATTACCTTCCCAGTCTTTCCCTCTGCCCATAACACCATGATTTTTTCCTGTGTGTGTCCATCGGTGTGTCCGTGCGTGTGTGAGTGCGTGCACGCGCATGCAGGTGTGTTTGTGGGTGTGCAGGCGAGTGTGTGTGTGAGAGAAATTATGCGTGTGTGTGTGTGTGTGTGTGTGTGTGTGTCCATGTGTGTGTGAGAGGCAGCGTGTGTGAGTGTGTGTGTGAGAGAGGGAGAGTGTGTGTGTATGTGGGAGTGTGTGTGTGAGTGTGTGGGCGAGTGCATGTACATGTGCGTGTGTGTGTGTGTGTGAGTGTGTTTGTATGTGTGTGTGTGAGTGTGTTTGT